GAAAGGAGTAAGTTACTGATACTTCCTATGCCATGGCAGAGCCTTGAAAACGTTATGCTAAGCAAAAGAAGCAAATCATAACAGACCACATACTGCAGAATTCCATTTCTCTAAAATGCTCAGGATTGGGAAATCTATAGTGACAGAAAATAGATTAGTGGTTGCCTAAAGATGGAAGGTTGGTGAGAAGTGAAGAGTGACCACTATTGGGTATGGGCTTTTTTTGCAAGGAGATAAAAATGTTCTGATATGGGTTGTGATGACTGCACAACTCTGTAAATATTCTAACAAGCATTGAATTGGTTTCCTCAGAAATACAATTCCCAGGACATAAGAATACACACCCAGGGATTCTTATTGCAACATTGTTCACACTAACACTGTATCAATTACAATTAGAATTACAATTAAAGTCATGAAAACAAAGTGACTGTTCATCTATAGGGGGTTGTGTCCATTAGTATAATACACTCATGCCATGAAATATGGTGCAGCCATTACAAAGCATGAATTAATTCCCTAACAATGGCCTTGAAAGGATGTCCATTAGTTTTTATGAGCGAACAAGACAAATGGAATAACTGTGTCTATAATGGGATCACATTTTTGTAAAATAAGTAATCACCCAAAACCTGTTTCCTATGCATATATTTATGTACACACACACACACACACACACACACACACACACTGTACCTGATCACCTCAGCAGAAGTGGGATCATGGCAGAAGTGTGCAAAAATGCCCCAGGAGTGTGTGGGTCATTGGAGCTATGGAAAAAAATGATATTGCTTGGATTTCCCAATCAGATACTGAAATCAGCAACATGTCTGTCACCTGAGCTTAAGGACAGGACATTTTGAAACTACTGAAACATAAAATCTGTATAATGACATGCATGTTCCACAGGATCCAGTCCCTGCCACTTTCTAGCTGTGTTGTTTTGGGCACATTACTTCTCTTCTCTGTGCCTCAGCTTCCTCAGTTAAAGGGGAGATAATCAGGTTCTGCTTCAGAGAGTGGGGGTGAGGGCTGAAAAAGTTAGTGTGTATTAACACACACATCCTGTTGTTTGCTATTTATTATTATCTGTATGACTTGTTCTTCACTGCAAATTTTGTACAAAACCACAGCCTATTCCTGCTCAGGAAGTACAATATGGTTGTTTTTCTTCTTGTTGGCTTTTTCTTCCTCTTCTCCCCACCTTCTTCCCGTAATGGAAGGACGTGTACTCCTGGCCTGCTCTGTGGTCACTCTGAAGTCATGGCAACCTGAACAGAGAAATAGGCCAAGTGTCAGGCAAGGCCAAGTGATAATATAAATGGACTTAGCAGACTAGAAATATGGACAGCACCCAATGAAATGAGAGTCATCTTGGGAGGCAAATGCAAATGACTTTATCTAAGAGGAAATAGTTCGATGCATTGAAAGGGAAGAAGAGCGTCTCTCAGGGAGATGGACACAAGGAGCAGGAAGGGAAAGGACTCTGACAGGGCTATGGCAACATCCCTGCTCTGCACATCATGACCCTAGGGAAAGGAGATAATTCCTCATGAGACACGCCCTGACAAATATGTCCTCATCCTATGGACTGTTTATTTTGCTTCATTTGGATTTTCCAACTCAAATAGAGACCAGTGGTCAAGTGGTTGATGTCATTTGTTCACCAAAAATATTTTTGTCAGTTGCGTTAGTCATTCTTTTGGCAGCTTTTACAACCAAATTAGAACCATCGCACATAGTCTGAACCACTGCTGGGCACTGTGCCCTCATGACAAGCACAAATACCAAATCTAGTACAGAGGCAGGTCTCAGTTACACTGTATAGACACAGCCTTGGACTCCAAAGCTAAAGCCCCAAAATATACTTGGCACAGAGCTGGTGCTGGGTGCTGGGAGGTCACTGCTGTGGCTGTATCTCCCCCTTGGATTTCAGCTGGAGCCTGCCTCTCTTCTCCCGGTGGGGCACGTCATCTCAGGAGGCTTCTGCAGACAGGAGAAATAGACTGCTCTTAAGAACTAAGTATGAAGGGGCGCCTGGGTGGCTCAGTGGGTTAGGCCTCTGCCTTTGGCTCAGGTCATGATCCCAGGGTCCTGGGATCGAGCCCCGCGTCGGGTTCTCTGCTCCACAGGGAGCCTGCCTCCACCTCTCTCTCTGCCTGCCTCTCTGCCTACTTGTGATCTCTGTCTGTCAAATAAATAAAGAAAGAAAGAACTAAGTATGAAGCATTAGAGGGCAACTGACTGATTAAGCTGGGAGAGAACCCACTCATTGTCCATTCAGCAAATGCTTCTGTAGTTCTCTCCCAAAGCACCAGACACAATGGGGTTGCAAAGAAGAGACAGGCATAGTTCCTTGTCTTGATGAGTTTACACACTGTCAGGAGAGACAGAATGGGATGTAAATAAATATCAGACTAAAATGCAGGCTTAAGTCAAATATAATGAGGGAGAAAATATGAAGAAATTACTTCCACTTGGAAAGATCTCAGAAAGCTTAGTGAAAGAAAAGTGACTTTCTCAAGGCCCAGAAAGAGAAGTGCCTTTCTCAACTCCAAGAAGGAGTTCAGTAAATGAACATGTTGGGGAAGCAGGAAAACAGAGATGCCAACATTCCAGGATGAGGAATCATGGGAATAAAGGCTGAGGGAAGAAGGGGGCTTCCCTGGAGAGTGGAGAGTTGTGCTGGAGTGATGAGTCTGGGAGTGGAGAGAGAAATCCCAGAAAGGAAGACATGGAGACAAGGCATGGTAGATGGAAGCCCAATCCTATGGGGCCTTGCTTACCTGGTTAAGAAATCTGGACTTTGCTTTGCAGGCAAAAGAGAACAAATGAAGTTTTCTGGTCAGAGGAGTGACATGCTTGTTGCTGTGCACGAGATAGATTCCTCTGGAAAGAATGGGCAGTAGAAGAGATTAGTAGAAGTGGCAGTGAGGAGAACAAGGAGGAAATTGCACAATCCTCAAGTTATATTGACTAAGGTCTCAGCCAGGGCTGCGGCAGTGGGGATAGAAGGGAGGGACTGAATGAGAAGACATCAACTCTGTGAGGGCTGGGAGCTCAGGGGGATGACAGCTTCTCACAAGGATAAGAATGGATCAATGCCTCTAACTATGACAACTTGGACTAGTTCCCTAGCCTTCTCTGCATTGGTTTTTTTCCTCTGCAAATTGGGGACTATAACTCTGGCATCTGATACAATCGGCAGAGACTGGGGAAAATAAGACACATTCAACCTCATGAACTGTTTACAGCTCCCTGGAGTAAAGGGGTCCTAAATCTACAACAATCTTAGCAAAGAAAACCAATTGTTTTAGAGCAATAGGATTAATGGGTGGTTCTTTTCAGTCCCTACAACCTTCTTGTGGTTGAGCTGACTCATTTTCCTTTTTAAAGAAACTTTTTCTTCTCAAGGTTGAAAACAAAAAGATCTGAAGGTCATCATAAACTAAAGTGAACATCAAAGCAAGAATGTTTCTGTAACTAATGACATCATCAACACACGTTGGAAATCAGTCACAGGATCTGTCAATAATGGGTTTCATTGTCAAAATCTGCTGATTTCCTTTATGGATGCCAGATTCTTGATTCACTAAAAAAATCTATGAGAGCATCATCTCCATCAGGGAAGCAAACAGAGCTATCTTGTTCACCTGTCAAACCATCATCATCTAGCTCAGGCACCCTATCATCGAAGGAGTGAATAATATGAGTGAGCTACATGGTCACCCCCAGTTAGTACATGGTACATTCTCCTACCAGCGAGAAGCCACAGAATTATTTCAATCAGACCTCTCTAGCAGCACAAGGAAAAATGTCAATGGACCCAGGCAAACTTTTTCTAGGGGAAAAACTTATATTAAAAAAAAAAAAAAAAATATATATATATATATATATGTGTGTGTGTGTGTGTGTGTGTGTGTGTATATATATGTGTATATATATATATATATATATATATATATATATATATATATATGTATCTAACATTATGAGCTTTATTTCCTGCAGACTGAGTTCTTTCGGTCTCATTCACATTTTTCTTAAGGCTCTCTACACGTATTTCATACTAAGGCAGAAAGTGGTCATCATGAGCATCATCATTTGGGTCAGGGCTCTAAGTTATAAGTGAGAAAAACCTATTTAAACTGGCACATATGTTAGAAAATTACTTGTCTTCAAGCATGGCTGAATGCACATATTCCAACGATGCCAGTAGGAGTTTGTCTCTCTCCATCTCTTGGTCCTTCTTTCTTCTGTGCTGGCTTAATTCTCTACTGGGTTCTCCTTTGTTAATGGCAAAGAGTCCAGAAACTTCAGGCTTCAAGTTTTACCAGTCTAGAAACCCAGGAGGAAAAAGAAAGTCTCTCTTTCTCAGTGATTCTTCCTAAAGTCCCAGGACGGCCTCTCATTGGCTGAGCTTGAGTCTCATGCCCATCCCTCCACCAATCACTGGGATTCCAATAGTTCAAGGCTAGCCCTGGAGCAAGGGAACAGAGATCAGTTCCTTGAACCTCTGCTTGAACCACAGAGACTATAAACAGAGGAGTGGGAAGAGAGGTAGTTTCCCAAAGGAAAATCAGGTGCTGTTAACAAAAAGGGTAAATACATACTTATATGTAGAAATATATACAACAAATATGTAAATATAAATGTAAATATATGTTAACATATATGTAAATGTATATAACAAGTAGGTTCATGCCACAAAGGCAAAAATGACTTGATATCTTTAAAAAAAATCTATCAGTGTGATTTCAACATAATGATGAATCAAAGGAGAAAAATCATACGATCATATGAACTGACACAAATCAAGTGTTTGTTAAGTTCAACTCATATATACCAGTATGTTTTTCAAGAGGCAACTTCTCTGCATGACTTATTTCACTCAGCATAATCTCCTCCAGTCCCGTCCATGTTGATACAAAGTTGGGCAATCATCCTTTCTGATGGCTGTGTAGTATTCCATTGTTTATATGGACCACATCTTCTTTATCCATTCGTCTGCTGAAGGGCATCTAAGCCTGGTGCTGGGTATTAAGGAGGGCATGTATTACATGGAGCCCTGAGTGTGGCGCATAAACAATGAATCTTGGGACACTGAAAAAAATAATTTTTTTTTAAAGTGTAAATGGATGGTGGGAAGACTGGATTGGCAGGTGTCACCATCTCCACCCATCTAGAATGAGGATGAGTAAGGCCACATCTGATGGGCTGTCAGAAAGAAAGTGATTAAACCTCTCTCCACTATGGATGCTATGCATGTGCTTAATGATAACAAATGAGATCCAGCTCAGCCGGCAGCTGCAGAAAAGGAGCCAGCAGGGTTGGGAGTGGAAACCAAGCAGCAATCCATCTTACAGCCTAAGAGTTCCCTCAAGTCTGTTTTAGTACATGAAATGCCCAGACTGACTCAGGCACTTTTCAAGTTGCAAAACTTGCTTTCATGCTCAGCAGATATATTCGAAGCTGTTTTATGACCAACAGTTAAACAGGAGGAAATTAAGGGAGAAAAATCAAGGATACAGCTTCATGCATAAAACTCAGCCACACAATTAACAGAGCCCACGTTAATCACATGTCAGTTAGGCCTCAGTGGTTTGATGGTTTTTCATTGGCAGAAATACGCAAATCCTGATAAGCAAAGAGGGTTGATGCCAACATAACTGAAAAACCTAAACATTAGTTTAGGCTCTATCATTAGTTAATCAAGTAATCACTCTTTGTGGTATTTGTGTGATATTTGGTAATTGAGTTTTTTAATGTTTCTCTCCCTTTAGCCCCAACTCTTTGTCATACCCAGCCTTTCTTTATCTAGACGTTCCAGTGGAAGATGAGATGTGTTTTTAATAATAATAAAACCCTTGTATTTGTAGATCACGTTGTACTTTATAAAATGGCTCACTAGTCTTCCAGCAGCCTTTGAAGATAAGCAAGACAAATTATTATTCTCCCAAATAACTACCAGAGTGTCAGGGTTGGAGTCTGGCTTGAAAAATACCAGCAGAACCCAATTCTTTTGTAAGCAAGTAAGATATCTTCACGTTCTGCTGGTGGAGTGTTCTGGAACCTTGGTTCAGGGTGAGGCACAGACAGGTGGAGCCTCTTTGAACAGATCCACCCTTAGTACTTGTAGTCCAGGGTCCCAAGGAAATGCTACACAAGAGGAAAGGGAAGAACTATCCCTGGACTTGAACAGAAATATCTCGGGCCAGTGAGCAACAATTCCATAGACAGGGAAGAAAAACAATCACGTAGAAAATCCAGAGAGATGCATTTCATAAGATAATACAAAGATGCTCTAGCTATCTTCCTACTTCTGGTGTGGTTAAGAATTCTTTGTACTTCCTTGAAATGTACTATCCTGTTAGCTCTCAATCTCTTAGACCAGAAGTATCAGCATCTGCATGGCTTTAGAAAATCTTGAGGAAAGAATTGAATTCCTACAGCTGGGGGACTTCTTATGTCTTTCAGATGCATCCCTCTAAAGCTGTTAAAGTAAGAAATGTACTCAGACAGTGGTTCCTTGTTTTAATAAGAAAAATAGTGGCACGTTGAATTAATGTTGGTTACTTTTTTGCATGACCCTAAGGCCCATGCTTGGAACTACTAACCCTAAAAATGATCATTACTAAGATCATTATCTTAGTTCTGCTGGACACCTGCGGTCTTAGGAATCCTCTTCACTGCCTTTCTGAACCTGAGTCACACTTTTATAGACCCCATGTCTTCCTCTTTTTATTTGTTCTCTTGTTTTACTAGAACACATGCTGGACAACTTCCTGATAAGTTATTTATTTCTAAGTCCTTAAATGACTCGAAATGTTTTAATTTATCCAATATACTTCATTGATGAGTTGGATAGGTAATAACAAATTCTAGAAGGAAATCATAATACCTCGGAATTTTGAAAATTTTAATCACTCAAATTGCCTTTTACCATCCATTGCTGCTGATGGGGTATTTGGGTGATCTAGCTTGATTCTGGAAAACAGGATTGCCACATTTAGCAAGTAAAAATACAGAACACCTGATTGAATTTCCATTTCAGATAAGGAAATATTTGAGACATACTTATTCTAAAAAATTATCTTGTTTATATTACTTCAGATTTAATTGTGTGTCCTGTGTTTAATCTTTTACCCCTGTTGGGTAAACTTTTAGGACATTCTCATTATCCTTGATGTACTGGAATTTCACAGTATATTTTATTTTTTTTAAAGATTTTATTTATTTATTTGACAGAAATCACAAGTAGACAGAGAGGCAGACAGAGAGAGAGAGTAGGAAGCAGGCTTCCTGCTGAGCAGAGAGCCCAATGCGGGGCTTGATCCCAGGACCCTGAGATCATGACCTGAGCTGAAGGCAGAAGCTTTAACCCACTGAGGCACCCAGGCGCCCCTCATAGTATATTTTAAAAGATTTTTACCTATTCACTTATTTGAGAGAGTGCGAACAAGAGGGGGGAGGGGCAGAGGGATAAGCAGAGCTGAGAGCCCAACCAGAGCTAGATCCCAGGACCCTGAGATTACAGCCTGAGCCCAAGGCAGATGCTTAACCAGCTGAGCCACCCCTGTTCCCTTCACAGTATATCTAAGTGTGAGTCTTTAAAAGAAAAAAACTCATCATATTAATGCTAATTGAGCCCCAAGAAAGAGGGTATGGTTTTTGTTGACTTGTTTAACTGGTGAGTCACGACTGCTTCTATGCTGCTTGGGTTTGGGTTTGAGGAAATGGAGGAAGAAAAAAGTTTCATCAAACATGGAGTTTAAAAATCCTTAGAGAAAGTAATATCAAAAAAGAGGCATAGGAAGACTCCAGGGTACTCATATAGGGCCTGGTCATCTAGTTAAATTATCTGGTTTGCAGCCCAGCCACCCAATCATCATGTCACACAGCATCAGTGAACAATCTTAGGAAAGGACCCAGAATTCAGGCTGAAGAGCCTTGCTTTGTAAAAGTGGCTATTCTGAACACATCCTGAATTTACCATGGAATTGCTCTGCTGTGAACATAGCACAGAGATATACTATCTCCAACCGAGAAGATGATTTGCTTGTGAGATGCATATTTCCTGGGGTTATCTTGGAGTGAACTAGCCAGAAAGTAAGTGAAGAGACAGAGAGATAAGAAGTAATCACTTTGGAAAGTAGTCGTAAAATCAGGCAAGGTAAAAACAGGTCAAAGAAATTAGAAGGAGAGCTATAGAGCCAAGAGAGAGGAGATTAAAAAAATAACTTCAGAATCGTTGAACTGGGCATGACCTTAGAAATCACCTGGGCCAGCCCCTCCTCTTACCAGCGACAATACCCAGGCTGCTGGAGCAGGAGTAGCTTGCTGAGAGTCACAGAACCAGACTAGACCAGACCAGTTCCCCTGATTCCCAGTCCAGTGTTTGTTTATTCCACTCCATTGACGGTGCCGTTTGGGACCTCTTGCACAACAGCCCTATTTAATCATCTTGACAGCCTCTGAGAATGATAAACTTACTCCGCAATGATCTGACTCAGCTCAGAGTAGCAGTTTCACCAAACGCCCCATTAAAATGCAGTCAACTCCATAGGGGTGGTGGATTGCAAGGGGCTTGCAGAAGGTTCCCCTGACCAAAAATATTGCCTGCACCCACCTGCCTCTGTGTCTGGAATTAAACGTTGAAAATGTCTGTTGTAATGCAAATGACTACATTTAACATTTTGCTTCTATCTTTGTAACAACTCCTTAACAAAGATGAAGGTCTTGATGGAATGTGACATGGACAAATATGTCTTGATTGGACCGGGGTAGAATGATTAGACGATGGCCTGAGATGTATTAGGACCCATCAGGTACAAATGGCAGCAGGTGCCTACTTCACCATCATCATTTCATATCAGACAAAGCAACAGATTGCTTTGTGCTCTAATCATTTTCCTGTCATCAGATTTCACTTTTGGTGTCTGATGTCACAGTAAGATATTTTAGTAGACCTAGTTTCCTTGATTACTTGAATAATTCACATTTAGTATCTGAATATGGGATGTTTTCAACAGAACAAAGTCCCTTTAAATGGCAATTTTGATTTCAGCAACAAGAATTGCTATGTCTGGACCACAGGTAAATGTCATTTGCCTTCTTCTCCTTGTGATCAGAAGTTAAGGAAGATGAAGATTGAAAGATGGCCACTGGTTTTTGCCAACAAAGAGTAGGTATAATCCAGTGATATGGACGAAGGATAGATTGCCATGCCTTGTTGAGAAGTGAATGCAGGTGGGGCGCCTGGATGGCTCAGGGGATTAAGCCGCTGCCTTCGGCTCAGGTCATGATCTCAGGTTCCTGGGATGGAGCCCCGCATCTGCCTCAGCATCCCTGCTGAGCAGAGAGCCTGCTTCCCCCTCTCTCTCTAACTGACTCTCTGCCTACTTGTGATCTCTCTCTCTCTGTCAAATAAATAAATAAAATCTTTTTTAAAAATTCTTAAAAAAAAAAGGAAGTGAATGCAGGTGAAAACGTGGGGGAAAATAATGTAGACAGTCTTTAGAGAAGCTAGACTATGGCCACCAAGAGAAAATGTTTTATTAAAATGTTTGATATTAATTAGTTGGTTAGTTTCAAAGGTGGGAGAGCTTGAGCATTTCTACTATCTTGGGAGAATACGGTAGGGCCTCAGCTTCTTCAGCTGCATGTTGCAGAAATGCTAGTACCACCATAAAAAATGTCTGTTCAAGATCACCTAGCCTATTGGCCAAAGCATCAGGATTGAAATTTGGGTCCTTTATCAGCTTGTTCTCTTGAGTGCATGGTGTATCTCCATTTTGCAAATGTTGGGTTTTCAGTGGGTCATGGGAGGATATAGGTGGTTATTTCTGTACAAATACATTTGGAAAGAGCTGTTAGGTCCTCTTGGGCATGGCAGGGACAAAGAAAGCCAATACTTGGCTAAGTAAATGCATTCCATTTGTCAGACACCAGGGTAAGCACTTTACATATAACAAGTTATTCAATCCTCATAGCAACTACACAGAGCAGATGAAGTTACTATCCTTATTTTATA